GGGGGCAGGCCCCCTTTTTGCAGGATCATAGACAACATTAGGGCTGTGGAAGAGACCAGCGGGGTCTGGGTCTGGCTCGGCCCAGCCACTCCCTCCCTTCGAAGACCCGGGATGGGCAGCTGGTCCATCTGGCAGAGGGCAGCGGGGGGACCTGAGAGCATCCTTCTGCCCCACCAGGAGCCCTCCTTTCTCCAAGCCTGCCCTCGACTCTGAAGGTGGCATCCCATCCCGCACATCCTGAGCGCTATCCCAGGGCACCTCTGCTCTCTTACCTGCTGCACGCAAGCTGGCTCACCTGTGGTCCATGGCTGCCTTGTCGTTTTGCTTGCGGGCTGCCCTGGAAGTATTTCTGATGAGGGCAGCTATAAACGCAAGACCAGCCCCAGCGCACGCGGGGCAGGGGAGCAGGAAGGGGGGTGCGGAAAGCGACGGCGCAGGGGGCGGCATTGGGCAGGTTGAGCCTCCTCTCCTTCCACCGCCATTATCCGCAGCAGGTGTTTGCCAGCTGCCTGGGCTCAAAGTCGACCGGTGGGAAGGGAGAGCAGCGGGGAACCCCAGCCCGGCAAAAGTGCGTATTGGGGAGGGGGCTACCTGCGTCAGTGTCGTGGCCCAGAAAGCAACCCGCCCGCGAGGCTCCGCACCAGGAGGAGGACCGAGTGCAAGGCGGTGTCGGAAGGGAAGATCTGCTCGGCTCCAGAAACACGGAAGCGACGGTCAGTAAGTCAATTAGCCCCCAGCCTGTAAACAGGCGCCGAGACATCCAGCGCAGTGGCCCGGGTCGGTGGAGAGGCGCAGAGGCACCGCTCTGGGCAGACCAGGGTTGCCCCTCCTGAGCGAGGAGAAGGCGCTGCTCCTGGTAGAGGGTCCTCGCCCCCCAACCCCCGCTCCGTGCAGCGTCCATTGAATTCGCAGCCAGGCTGTGAGCAGGGAGCCCGGGAGGAGGGAGGACTGGACCAGTGCAGTAATTGGGAGAAGCTCCTTCTCCTGTTTTCCTTCCTTCCTTCCTTCCTTCCTTCCTTCCTTCCTTCCTTCCTTCCTT